ATATATATATATATATATATATATATATATATATATATATATATATATATATATATATATATATATAAACGCCACACAGAAGTATGCTTCAGTTTTGGCCCTAATGCAATAATTGGTTCATTAAAATAGTACTGTATTTTATTTAAATAATTAACTTATGAAACAGAAAAATCTTCATATGCTATAGCAAAGGAGTGGACTAAACTGTTTCATCCTTGCCCTTCAGTATTTGTTTGTGTAGTTTAATTACTATAACAAGATGCACACTACTTTGCTTGTGGGGAAAAGCTGTATAAATGCCAGCCTGCTTCCGAGAATCTAGCAAGATGAGAAAAAGCACTAGAAATCTCTAGGAAGCAGATTACATATGAGCAATCACTTGCTGAAATTATTTACCAGTGCTGTAAAAGGAAGTGTTAGATTGTCCTCTGCTCAGTTTCAGGAAGTCTTCAGAAACAACCATTGAGGGAGCAACATGGCAGGAGCCGTGATTATAAAATATAAACACATTAGAAGTTAAATATTTATAATTAGTAGCTTTGAAGAATTCAGTACATATACAATACTTTAGGATGCTTTTAGGTTCCAAACCTGCATGCAGTGTACCTGATCACTGAACTATTTCTCAACTTATGTGCAATTAGAAAAAAATATGGTAGAATATTGCTTGGGACACAAGTCAATAAAAATAAAGAGATTCTAAGCTAAGGTAGCTGAGTGGCCTTTAATGAAATTTATGAGGATGCAATCTGCCATGTTACACGGTTTACAGCACTGTTAATGTTTCATAGCAAAATATATGGGATAGTGTGGTTTCAGAGTTTTTTTAAGAAAGGAAATAAAGACCCAAACAAATGAAACCACTAGGTTGATTTCTGTGCACTAGTAGCTAAATTTTAAAGTCTTCATTCAGATTTATTCAATTACTTAATAAAGTGAGCAAGAACCAAACCTGAAAATTAAGGATAAAGTAAAATCTGACACAATAACTTCAGGCTTTGGCCTTTAACAGCAGTGAAATTTATACTGTATTCTGCATTTTGATGATTAGGGATTGGTGAAATTAATTTGGCCCGACAACTTGGATTTTCAGACACATGCCGTTACAAAAAAACAACGAAGATATTAAAGCCTGTAAAAGTGGATTTATAATGGAAATGCCAACTCGATCTGAATGGAATTGATGCTACAAGGACTGCAATAAGGCAGTTAAATATTCACAAAGATACTTTGTAGTCTTTGCTCAAAATGAATAAAGCAATTTCATAAAAATGCTCAAGAAACCTAGAGGCTTTGGACTTACCGGTGAGGATCGAGAAGCTTCCTTCAGTTTTGACATTGTGGTTAGAAAACTCCCGATGAGATCATGAGATCCATCATTGTCATAATCATAGCACTCTACCTAAAATGAAGCATTATCCAGGATTAGCAATAGCCAACGCTCTACCGAAACGATGTTGCAATGACACTTCTACAACCATGTATAAAAAAACCTGCCTTTTTTCCCTGTTAGGATTTCAAGCGTGGCAGAAGTTTGCCCTATGCCATAGATTTAAATTAGTGGGGCATATACACAAGTGTCTGAAGGCTAGGCTTTACCAACTGCAGAAAGATAAGTGAGTCTTACTTACTACTGGACCAAATCCTCCAAGCTGCTGAGCATCCTCATCTTCCACGGATGTCAATGAGCATCAAGAGTTCAGCATTTTACAGGATCAGGTCCAATATGATTAGTTAGGGCTAATACTACTATTTTATTCTGATCATTTTTAGGAAAAGTCACTCCATGGTACCTAGTCTGTGCACCCTTCTGCCATTATCGGCTGGAGGCCTGATTTTCAGAGATACTGACATTCAACTCCTATTGATTTCAGTGGGAGATGTGGATGATCAGTACTTCAAGTCAGGCTCTGGGTGGTTAGCAGGAGAGCAAAAGCAAGTGGACAGCATTACTAATCCATAGAGGGGCTCAGAGACAGAGTTCAGTACCTTTCACTGCTGATAACGGAAGCTAGACTTGAGAGTTCTCTCAAGACCTGCAGTCTTAATTATTTGTAAATTCATAACTTCCTCAGAGATAGTATGTTGGCTAAAATCCCTCTTTACCTGTATTTATAGCTCAAAGGTAAGACTTAACTGATCAAATCAATTCAACTTTAACCTTAATGCCTTTCCTTTCTCACTTGCTCTTCCTTTCTTGGGTTATTCTTTTTGTTTAATGGAGTGGGATGGCAGACTGTCAGTTTATTTAGCCCAGCTCTAGGTTTTCCATTGTTATTTTAACTTTTGTGAAGAACCTGCTTACATACATATAAAAAGTAATAAAATGAACAGGCTATGAATGTTCTCCAGAATGTCCTAATTATAATTCTGAATTAAGTTTGTATATTTAAACTGACATTGCACTAACCACCTCTGTCTATGAATTATTTTTTGCTCTGATTATAGGTAAGACAACTTACTAAAATAACAGCTTCCTAGTTCCAAAATTTCCATTGATGCACTTTTCCATTATTCGGGATAAATATACAGACCCTGGACAAAAATCTTCCTAAACAGATTCAATCTAAGCCATACTGCTGTTCTCCATGCCCTTCTTTCCTACTCCCCATTATACTGTACACTAGCACATTAATAAAGTTATGTTTTCTTTAACATTTCATTTCTGACCAAACCAAAAAAATAAAATAACTATCTTAATAAAATCTTGGGCTGCTGAGAGAAAACTGCCTGCATAACACATTTAATATTTCTACATTACTGCCTTTTAGACTGCAAGCTCCACAGTGCAGAGACTGCCTTCTTCTGTTGGCACAGCTCCTAGATACATTTTGGCTACCACCGTAATAAAATATATAATACATGCACATGCATTGAACACCAATTCATACTGCATACAGGCAACAACAGTATCACAGATGGAGAAACAGATTTCATATACAGGCAGATGTGATGCAGATTCTTTAGGCTTTCTTATGTTGAGCCAATCAGATGTTCACCTACTCAAGCAATTGGTGGAATTCTTAATACTGAAGATATTTTTTCATTCAAAACGGTAATAATAGCTTGATCCAGAGTTATCATAATTGTCTTTTTTATTTAAAGACAGAAAACATTTCTGGGAGTTTGATATATTAAATACATCTAGCCTGATGTTTCTTTTGAGATCAGAAGGTTGGCTGCCCATGCAACAATCTTGGTGGCTCCCTGTAGCAACATAAATATTATCCATGTTTCCCTCTTCCCTTCTCAGAGCTGATGAATTCAGGCATGCTAGCTCCAAATGAGAGAGGCTCACATTTGTGGTACAGAAAGATATCATTGACTCACTGCAACACACACACAATTTAGAAATAAATTAATGAGATAGTGTAGCAAGTTGGTTTGTGCATTACTGCTGAATACACAAACTGAACGACTCAGTGTGTGAAGAGGCATTCATACTGAGGAAAGCTAAAAAAGTCATTTTTACTTACTATAAGATAGCCTGTTATGCATGCCACTGTGTGTATAAAAGTGTTAAAGCATTGTTTAATTCTTCTTCAAAACAACATTACCACAATTTTACTGTCTCATCTGAAAGTAATTTTAAATCCATAAACTACAATTTCAAAATAAAATGCTGCAGAGATTAGATTCTATCCTGTTTTGTGTAAATCTGGAACAACTCCATGGAAACCCAGTTGGTCTGGATATACACCCATGTAACTGAGATCAGAAACTTCACAGCAGGTTTTATTATATACCTATACAGTGTATTCTATTGGGTGATAAGATTACATTTTGGATCATGCTGAGCTGAAAACAACCCTATCTTAAAGGATTTATTTGGTCAAGGAACTACACTTTTAGTGGGGCCATTAAATGGAAATGAAAAATACATCCATGACATGTGGAGAAGAACTGTCACTAGCTCTTTCCTTTTTCCCCCCCCCAGGTTGTCAGTTTCTGGGCTTACTTATAAAGATAATTATTATTCTGCTTCATCACTGTTTTATTCTGTGCCGGTTTATACCCATATTAGCTAAGTACCATATGTTCCAGTTGTGCATTAAGCAATGCAACTAATGTCTGTCACATGTGATTTATTCTCTCTTGCATCCTTTCCGCAGGATGGGAATAAGTGCTACGGTATATCTTGTTTTGGTAGGCTTTTGTCTAAATGTACACATTGCTGTGACAGATTGGGGAATATGTCAATTTATGAATTCCATTTTGATTTTGTGAGTGCCATACTATACTTCAACTGCCACTTTGAATGTATGTCTACCCAGGGACACTCAGGAAAGTTAAACTGAATTAAATGAAAATGTGAATTTAAAATGCATTCCTTCACAATAAGGCCACTTTACTTCCTAACGAGACTATCCATTCAAGGGTTTAACGTGATTTAACCAGTGCTGTAGACACTGAGGCTCAATGAATTGGTTTACCACCCTGGATTTGGCAGCTTCAGTTGAAGCTGAAATCAACAAGATGAAATTCAACAAAGACAAGTTTAAAGTATTATGCTTAGGAGGGAAAAAATCATATGCACAAATACAAAATGGGGAAAACTGGCTAAGTGGTTCTAGCACTGAAAAGGATCTGGGGGTGATGTAGAGGATCACAAATTCAATATGAGTCAACAATGAGATGCTGTCATGAAAAAGGCAAATGTCGTTCTGAGATACATGAACAGGAGTGTCATATATAGATCTGGGAGGTAACTGGTTCAGTACTAGTGAGGCCTCAGCTGCAGTACTGTGCCCAGTTTTGAGCATTGCACTTTAAGTAAGATGTGGACAAATTGGAGAGAGTCCAGAGGACAGCAACAAAAAGAGAAAGATATTTAGAAAACATGGCCCAAGAGGAAAGGTTGAAAGAATTGAGCATGTTTACTCTAAAAAAAAAAAAGGAGAGAATAAAAAGGGGGGACATGATGAGTCTTCAAATATGTAAGAGGCTGTTGCAAAGAGAATGGTGATCAATTGTTCTCCATGTTCACTGAATGTGGGACAAGAACTCTTTGGGTTACTTTGCAGCAAGCGAGATTTAGATTAGATATTAGGAAAAACTTTCTAATTATATGGGTAGTTAAGTTATGGAATAGGTTACCTAGGGAAGTTATGAAATCCTCATAATTGGAGGTTTTTAAGAATTGGTTAGACAAAACACTTGACAGGCATGGTCTAGGTATACTTAATTCCACCTCAGCATGGGGACAGGGGGAAATGGATTAGATGATCTCTTGAGGTTCCTTCTAGCATTACATTTTTACGATTCTTTGATAGGAAGCTTCTCTTGCTTTGTAATTCGACAGCATGATGGCTTCTGTAGCTTGGAATTTTTGTTTTGCAGGAAATTTTGACACTTAATGTAATGGAAAATTTCCGTTTCTGAATTTATTTTTTCATTTTTACATTATTTCATGACATGCCAATGGTATTACTGCATAATATACTTTATTTCATGACAGATCAGTAGTAATGTAAAAACAAAACAAAATGAAAAACCCATAAAATTAAATTCAAAACAGTTTCAAAATTTTCCAAAATAGATTTTTTTGTTTCAAAATATTCTCCCTGCAAGAATTAATATTGAAATAAAAACTTCTGAAGCATTTCAATTTCTACATAAAAGCAATTTCCATCAGAAAAAAAAAGCATGTAACAAAATTTCTGACCAGCTGTAAGCCTGAGCATAGGCTTGAAGAAATTTGTTGCGTTTCATCTTCTGTCTTTTGGCCTTTGCTTTTCCATCACTAGTTCTCAAGTTTCCACCTGTCATTTGATTCAGGGTGTCAAAAAAACAAGAACTTTTGGGTGATGAGGACTAAGGGTGTCAATGGTTGCAGATAATGTTCAGTAAGGATTCACTAGACTGACTCCTTGTCCTGTGAGTGGATCCCATCTTATCCTCCCAGGCTACTTGAACCATCACAAACTTAGGACAACGCAGGCAGGCAACCCTGCATTCCTCTACTCTTCGAACATCAAATCCAAAAATGGTGCCTAAGATAAGGCGGGTTCATTTGAATTCACTCATCTGACAACGGAACCCAGAGCTGAAGCGAACAGATTTTTATGCTCCTTTATGGACCAATGACTAAAGGCAAGGAAGGATGTCAATGGCAGCAGACATCCATTTTCTTGAAATATGCTGCCAGTGTTGTCACAATGCCTCTGCTTTGGGAGCTAGCGGCGTGAGGAAGGGAAATAGTACTACCTATTTAGTAGTGAAAGAATTACATTCATAAAATGTCCTTCTGACTAGATGATTCCAAATTTAGAATATTTCAAATACTAGCTCTATACACAAATAAGTTAATGTTCAAAACAGCTTGGCATCAGAAGGTTTTGTCTGGGTAGATCCAGCGACTCAATGCTAATGCTTTGCTACTGTGCTTTATTCATGGGGATTCCCATGAACATTCACTCTACTCCTCAGGCCAGCAGGAACTGGGGTTATTGTGTAGGTAATATCTAAGCAATGGAGGAAAGAATGAAGCAACTGGTCAGCAAAGTCCAGTTGAGCAGGTTGAGAAGAGGACCTGATGGCTGTGACACACATCCAGGAAAGAAAGGGAATTAAACAAGTGTGAAACATGTATAAGGACCAGGTAACAGACAGTCATATGCAGGAGAGCAAGAAAAAGCAACAGCCAAAAGGATTCTAACGGACTGTAAATGTGCAAGCAGACAGCCCACGCTTTTAACAAGTCTGAGAACTAATGTTGTGTTAACACTAATTCAAATGAAAAGAAAAACTGAAGAGGGAAATACACATTTACTCTAGGTTAACCAGCTTTCCTAACTCTGGAAGTCAATTTGACAAAAAAATTTAGGAGATCCTGTAATACAAACTATCAGGTCATCATTATCATCATCCCTGTTTTCTGTTACTTATAATAAAAACCTTTATTTTGAATTTAGCTTAAAACTAAGAGGATAAACCAGTTAAATGAATATTCATGATCTTTGCCAACTGTTTCTTTGATAGATACATTAAGGACAAATGCAATGTATTTAAATATTACCTTGATTGTTTTATCCATATCACTGTAACACAGAGAATTGAGGGGTATTTTAAAGGGCTTCCAGACAGGATTCAAGTTGTTTTTTATAACCTGCCAAAAAGATTAGATAAAATAGTATTGTTAGTAAGGCAAGATGCAGAGGGACTATGAGTGTTATGGAATAAAAACAGGGCAACTATTACAAATATGGAAAGTGTTGACAAAAAAAAAAAAAAAAAAAAAACATGTACACATGACAAGGATATAACAAGAGCCCCAATGGCTGGATCATCATAACAGAAGAAAATTTTGTTTAATACCAACACTCTGGAGGAAGTTGGATGCTGCTGCTCACTGCTAGGTCAAAATTTTCAAAAAGGGAAATTTAATTTATCATACAATTTAAATCCCAAACTGGAGAGGATGTAACATTCTAGTACCTCTGTACATGAAGACCCTAAGCATATGCAGCATTTTGCTATGTACCCCCACATCTTACCAGTAGAAGCAAGACAATGGGAGTAAAATTATAATTTCCAGAAGTTACATTTCACTCCACCAAATGTTTATACTGAAACACCATTTCCAGAAGTATTTCCTCCGGAGATTCAATGGTTAAGGCGGGGGGGGGAGAGGAGAAGTCAGCAAAGGCCACTTTATAATCTCCTCATGTCTATCAAGCAAAAAGAATCTTAGTACTATAAGGGACTGTGCCTTCCTCTAAATTTGTTCATTATTTAAATACTGATTAGGGCCTCAGGCTCTTCTGTAAGTGTTCAAAATAAGTGTATAACTTATTATTAAGTAGTAAATATCAGACCTAGCTGAAGTTGGCACTCCAATATTAATAGTAATATTAGAATAGCATCTAGATGTTCCTACCAAAACTAGACTATTATGCTAGACATTACATACATCTAAACAAGTCCAAAGGGTTTACAATCTAAATGGACAAGAGTAAGAAAAAAAGCAGTATTGTCCACATTTGAGTGCCAGAGACATTTAATGACTTTCAAGGTCACACACAAAAAAGTCTAACAGAGTTGGGAAAATTCAGGTCTCCTGAGACCCAGTCCGGTGCTTTAATTACAAGATCACCTCTCCCGCTCTGAAGGTGCTGTACCTTTAGTGCTATGTTATACATTTAAAGTCAGATTAGAGTTTTATTGAGTTAATTTTTTGTGAACAACCTCCCCTACCTCAGTTCTGTGAACCATCACCCAGTTCCCTTCCGAGGTCTGCTTGTGGAACTCCAAGAAAGGGTCTGACTTTCCAAAAAAATCCTGAATTTAAAAAATAGGCAGTTATCACATGGCATGAATGTTATCAAACACTAATTAATATATATATAGTCAGATAAATGGAAGGTAAACAAAAGACTTTCCTAAAAACTATTAAACATCTTTCTGATGAAGAATACAAATCACTTTTCAGGTATTCTCATTATTGCTTTTTAAAACAGGATCATTTATATTAGCAAGCCAAAGAATTATATAACTATGAGTAGAATAGAAATATTTTTCAGTGTAGGGTGAGATTCTGGGCTCTGTAAATACTGCCGGACAGTTCCATCTCAGGACAATGGGGCCACTATGTGTATGAAGGGCAGGACCCGAATTCAAAGCTGCCTAATTAGAACATTATAAAAATGTAAAATAGAAGCATTTCTTCCCTACCACACCTATTAACATCTATTTTAGAATTTCATAGAGCAATTAAAGTGTTTAGAGATTCTAACGTGGACCCTGAAGACGTTTCTTTATTATAATGGATTTGCCCACTCTAACATATAGTGCTGTCTGAAAGTGTACTTTTTACAGTTATTTTAGTAAGTAAACTTAAAATTAAATTGCAAAAGCATTCACACTAATGAAAAGATACAAATCTGTGATTAATTTATATGGACAGAGTTAAGTCTTGTTCAAAGAATAATTTTGGGCAATATACCTGTCTCACTTTAGAAACAGGTCAAGATTCATTCTAAAAACTTCAATGTACATATATACTTGTTCATAAGCCGAATATTTTTGGTAAAAAAAATGATGCATCAAAGAGCGGGGGTCGGCTTATAAGTGGGTCTACAACAAAATTTGATGATTTTAAACTCTATGGAATCATTGAATTGAATAGCTAATACGTTGTCGTTTTGTTTACCTGGAGCGTCTGCAGGCATGGAGCCCCTCAGCTCCCTGTGGCCTCGGTTTGCCGTTCCCAGCCACTTCCCGCAGCTCCCATTAGCTGGGAACGGCAAACCACAGACACTGGGAGCTGAGGGGCTCCGTGCCTGTGAATCCTCCAGGTAAACAAAACGTTCAGGCCCGCTATCGGCTTACCCTAACAGGCCAGTAGCCAAAGTTTGCCAACCCCTGAAATATAGGGTCGGCTTATGAAAGTGTCATACAGTTTTTGCTATTTTCACCTAATCATCTTGGGGGGGGGGGTTGGCTTATAAATGAATGGGCTAATGAACAAGTAGATATGGTAATTTACAAATGTTCTGTGTTCTATGGTTTTCTTCTACTGTAAACAGTATTTTAGTAGACTTAATTTCTCCAGCAAAGAATCCCAGAATGAATCAATCCGTCATTACTTATTTATAAGAGCATCATTATTTTAATGCTTTGTTATTACAAATACAGCAATTAAGTACCTTATTCTCTAGTTTCCTTGCTTCTATTTCGAATAAGACCACCCTGTTATCCTTTACTTCTTCTGCTGTAATCTAGATAGATAAAAGAAAGAAACATTTATTCTATGTTCAGATACCATATACTTCACTAATATTATTCACAACATACCTAGAAAGGGTAGATGTGAAATATTTATTTAAAAATAGAAGTACTTGGAGATCCTTGGATGAAAAGGTAGGACATAGCTCTGAAGTGTTTTGAAAGCATCAGGCAAGCCACACAACTCCTATGTTACTAGGTAAACAGTCTCATTTTACAAATGAATAACCCAAGGTACAGATGTTAAGATTCACATTTTCAACAGTGGCCACTAATTTTGGATGGCCCAAGTTGCGACATAGAGTTCTTGATTTTCAGAGGCATGCACCATAATGCAGCTGAAGTCAACAGATGCTGACAGTGTTCAATACCTCTGAAAATGGGCACCAAAAATTGAAACCTCCAAAAAGGGACCACTTTGAAAATTTTGGATTATTTAATTTGCTAAATGCCACAGACTTGGTGCCAGAACCAGGTATAGAACCTATGAGTTCCAACACCAAATGTTCCTGCTCAATGAGATAGAAGAGCTTGCTAGATGAACTAACTGTACAGAGGCACATTTTTAGAGCTTCTCTCATCCACTAGACTAGATGGTGAGATCTGTCTTTATGCAGTACAAGTTCAATTTTAGACCAAGCTTCTAAATGTTTTTCATATTTTAAAAAACTGTGGTTTCCCTTATGCTCAACTGTGGTTATCGCTAAAAGGCAGTCAGCATTCTAAGAGGAATTTTACTGCTGTTCTGTCATTTTCAAAGGCAAGAAAGGGGTGCTTGGTGGGGTCTTTAACCCTATAGCCAGATCACAGACTGAAGTCAAAGTTTGTCTGTTGGTCTCAACTTTATAACTAGCAAGTAGTCTGTGGGAGGTACCATCCTCAGATGCAGCATACTCTGTTCCATTATGTACTCGACCAATTCTGATACAGGAAGAACAAAAATGCCATTTGTATCCAGTCTTCTGAAAAACAATATCACTACAAACTTATGGACATCATTGATGAAAGTACTGTAATAGTAGCTAGAAATCGTACATGGATCTTGGCTTGAAAAAAATCTCTTATACATGGGAGCTGACCCCTGCAAGTTTGCCAAGGTCATGCTCTCTGGCTACAAAGTCACAATTTGGAAAGTCACCAATTTTAGCTGAGTAAAGTAGACCAGATTTCCACATTTCACTGTATAGAAGAGAGGTGGTGCAAACTAGGGCACTAACACTGTAGCCTGAAGACAATGTACAGGACACATGAAGACATGATCCTTGTGTCGCTAAGTAATGTTTAATTTCCTACTTGGCAGTATCCCAAAATACTTAATTAACAGACTCAGCCTGTTAATTGCTGATCTCAATGGAGCATTCCCATTTGAATTGCATTGCCAAATCTGTCCACCCATTTTGCTAACATCCATCACCACTGTGAAGAATATGAGAGAGCTGCATTAATTTTATGATTCATCTTTCTTTCGCCCAGTGAGTTTGGTGGTTATTTTGATGCTGGCTAAAAGGTAAAGCTAAAATCAGTGTTAGTTAGCACTGGTCTACTCTACAAACATGTTGGTATAAACTGTGTCGCTCGGGGTGTGAATTTTCCAAATCCCTGAATGACAGAGTTATATTGACCTATCTCCCCATTGTAGACAGCACTATATCAATGAGAAGGCTTCTCCTGTCAACATAGCTACTGCCTCCCGGGGAGGCGGAGTACCTACGCGGGAGCTCTCCAATCAGCGTAGGTAACGTCTTCACTAAGTGCTACAGCAGTGCAGGGTGCAGCTGCACTGCTGCAGCACTGTAAGTGCAGATATGCCCTTAGCTTTGATCTGCAGGAACCCAGACAATGGCTATACACAGCGCCAAATTCTGGCGCTTAGATGGACAGTACACCATTGCTGGAAGTCTGCCTCTGTCCCACCTGAGAAGAAGCATAAGCCCAACTAACCAGGTTGTGTTGCTCCACAACAAACACAGGGACTTTGAAATGGATAAAAGACTACCTGTGAACTTGGGGGAGAAAGGGATGGATGGAGGGAACCACACTAACTGAAGGGTCAGACAGAGGCATAGAGGCTGCACTCCCCAATGCTGGGGGATTACTGGGATGGTGGTTACCTAAATTGCAAGGAAAGGCTAAAGTTTAGGTAAGATCTATATGCATATTATCTTGTTGTTTGAATTTTTTCCCTCTCCCTTTGTTGTATTCATATAAATAAATCACACTTTGTTTTCAACAAGCTGTTCTGTCACTTCCTGGAGAGAAGTCAAAGCAGGAGCCAAAACCCAAGTGGACCTGCCAAGGATACAGTTGATGAACATGGGTGCTGTGACCTGGGGACCGAGCCTAAAAGTGGTGTGAATTGCAGGATTCCAGCCTGAAAGAAGTACAGTCGCAGACCTGTCACTTGGATTAGGGTGCCCATAGAGAGACTGAGTAAGGGAATCAAAGATACAACTTGCCATAAGTCATGACAACCAAGTGATCCAGGAAAATACAGGCCTGTTAGTTAGACCTCAATAAATGCAAGGTTTTGGAACAAATTTTGAGAGAGAAAGTAGTTAAGGACATAGAGGTAAACAATAATTGGGATAAAAATACAACATGGTTTTACAAAAAGTAGATTGTGCCAGACCAACCTGCCTTTTTTTTTTTTTAGTGAGACGATAACTCATTTTCTAGACAAAGGAAA